CTATCACATTTTTTCCACAAAAATAGAACAAGTAACACTAATAAGAAGATAATGAAAAAGTAGATCCATCTTTTTCCGATGCGTTAGACCTTTTAAAAGTTCTACACTTCTCAAATTGTTATCTTAGAGTCTTGAATAATTGTGTTTTAAAATTGGTATATACTACTTTAGCATATGAAGAGGCTATCGTGAATAGTTTGATCAAATTAAATTACTGTCTAGTAAAATAAATAACTTAAAATCTAAGAAATAATTCAATCAAATCAAATGTATCTAAAAAAATAACCAACTTAGAATTTATAAATTATAAAAAAAACCAATTGGTTTTTGTTCATTGTATGTTATACTTGTATAAAAGCCAACTATTCATATTATTGTTAGTGACTGAATATAGATTTAAATATACATATATGATCTAAATTTAAAATGTACTCTAAATAAATATAAAATTATATCTTAAAATTTGAAATGTGATTGATTTGATATAGTAGTATGAAATTAAGGCCGAGGTGCTTGAGTAGTGTGAAAAAATTAAAAGGATTGTGGATTTTTAAACTGCTTTTTTTAGTTCTTAAAAGGGCTTATAAATATATATATGTATATATGTACGAACAATATATTATTTACCTTCATTGCAGCATGGTATGCAAATCCAGGTATGTTGACAGGAACTGAGAGACAACCATCAACAAAGTCAGAGAAAAGCTGAGCCATCTCATTGATTTCAGATTCACTGTACACCCCCAAGAGTTGATTAACCATCAGATTAATAGCTGCCTGAGAAAAAACCAATTATAGATTAATGAATTCAATGTACATAAATACATCCATATATATATATATATTTATATACATGTGCATGATACTTGCCTTTCTACAAACATCTTGTAGAAGTATAACCTGAGAATCACGAAGATTTGCAAATGTTTTTACCAAAATCATTTGAATATCATTCAAGAAATGATTGTTGAGACGCATCAAATTGGAGGCAATAGCATGGAGCTTTCTTTGCTGCTCTCCTTGAACTGTGATCACTCCATTTTTTCCCACCAAATCCCGGAACGATTTCGGATAACTCGATTGGAATAATTTTCCTTCGTTTTGCATTACAAATCGGTTAAATCCAGGATCTACTGATACTACTGCTCTTTTCCCCAGTAAGTTACAAGAGAATATCTTCCCAAATCTAAACATACTCAAGATTGTTTATTATTCAGAAACGTAAATTAATGAAACAGCTTGCAAGTAAGAAAAATAAATAAAGTAGTAATAATAATAAGTCAGGAATATCTAACTATTTGAGTTATGAGTTTCTCCTCAAATTTGTCTAAAAAATAAAATAACTCAGATTATTGTTGATTAATTCCGATAGAAAACAATTCAATTTGTAGTAAATATAAGATATAGCTTGGAGATCGTCTTTATTACTTAAAATCAAATATATTTCTCTTTCTCAAACCTTTATAGACCCGAAATCCTAACAAAGTTTTTAATAAGAAAAATAACTTATCACTTTAAGGATATATCTATTAACTTTAGCAATATATATATATATATATATAGAGAGAGAGAGAGAGAGAGAAAGAGGAAGATAAAGGAGAAGAAAAGATTCAAATTTTAGAGATACTGTAACCTCGTAAAATCAGGATACAATTTAACACAGACAAATACATGTATATGGTAAATCAAGAACTTGGTGAATGGGATGAGAACTGTGTAAAGAGAAAAAGTGTATGTGTGTGTGTGTGTAGATATAAATGTGTGTGTATATATATATATATATGTATACCTTTGAGCCTGTTGTTGAACGAAGGAAGGGGGATGAGAACTGGCAACAGCATTATACCAGCTGAAGGTGTCACCAAGGATCGGCCAGCCTAGTCTTCCCGGCGGAAATGCAGATCTTCTTCTTCCTCTATACTCGCTATTTGATATATTAATTATGAAAATACACACTATAATTATCATCCCTGTAATCATACTCCATACTCCCAACAATAAACAGTTTTTCTCTCCCATTCTCTCTCTCTCTCTCTCTCTCTCTCTCTCTCTCTCTCTCTCTCTCAATATCATCACCTGCAATCACAATATCAATTAATTATATATATATATATATATATATATATATATGTATATATTAATTTCAACTATACCTTTAATTAATTGAATTAGATTCTTGCCATTTCTATACGTAAATAAATAATTTTTATCATCATTGCCAAACAAATTTTGGGTTGACCTCATACGAAGATTTACACAAGTAATTCATAAGATTTTATTCACTTTATATATATATATATATATATATATCTTTCCTTCTTATGCTCGTTTTTATTTATATACCACTTTTCCAGTAAATACCTAAACTACTTCTCTTTATATCTAAGTATGAATTTGAATGAAGTTGTATACATTCTATGTATCATTATTAATTATTAAATTATATTACAATTTTATGTAAGTATCATTTGATTACTAAATCTATTCCTTTTCTTTTATGAATTCAAATTGAGTTATACGCTTAATTTATATTTCTACTAGAAAATTGTATCATGATGTAATATTAGTTTATAAATAAAATATATATAAATTTATACATTCTTAGTAATAAAATAAAAGGTATTTCTGAACCAGTTTTCAAATATATGTATAATTATTATTATAAACGTACCTGGTTTGTTTGTTGGAATATTTGGAGAAGGCGTACAAATCAACCCAAGCCAACAATAAATATATAGAGAGTATATATGTGCGTTGGTGAATATATATACTTCTAGATCTCTGTTTTCCACTCTTTTCTCGAAAAAGTTATGTACTTATATATATATATATACACACACACACGAAATTAAGAAAGAAAATTAATATAATCTTGTGTTTGGTGCTTGAATATAAAGTGGATTAAATACGTGTCTACCAAGAAGATGTTTTTCTTCTTTAATCACCTTGATCATTAAAAATATCTAATTATAACCCAAATTAATAAAAATAAAATTTAATCTTTCAATTATAAATATATCTCTTGCCTATAATTTACTCTCTCACTCTCTCTCTCTATATATATATATATATTATACAATATTTTGTGAAGAACTACTAGCATTTCTTCACCCACATGCATATATATATATGTGTGTGTGTGTGTGTGTGTATTGGATTCAGTTTTCAAATGGTACCTCTTCGAGAACAACAGCTCTTTTCGGATCGGTAGATGGAGAAGTAGCTTACTTAATGTGTTCTATTATATAGATATAAATATATATATATATATATTAAATATTTTAAATTAAAGGAATATATTAAATAATAAATGTCATTAATTATTTGTACATACAATATCAAATTATTTCTTTTATGCTATTAAATGTTATGGTGAGTTACATAAAGATTTTTAAAACTTGGGTATAATTTATAGTAATTAAATATATTATTTTTAAGATATAATAATTTAATTTTTGTATAAAACAAATAATTGAAGGGTAATTAGTGAAATAAATAGACATACAAAAAAGACAAACATCAAAAGAATCAATGGAGGAAAGAAAGATTAAAAAGCAATTGTGGGAGTTAAGAACTCGAGGTTATAATTAGGCACCCAATAATCACACTTAAAATATCATTCTTAATAACCAATTAAACATCTAATCCTTTCTTTTTTTTTTTAGTATTTTTAAATATTCTTAATCTCTACCTTTGCCACTAAGATTAAATTTAACTATAATCCAAATACTTCGTTTATGTTAAGGGTAAGAGAATTACCATAAAAAATTTTGACTATTTTATTTGTCACTAAATACAATTTATTATTTACGAATGAATAAGATAACTAACTACAAAGTTTACATATTTGTATGATAAAAATTTATAAATTGGAGTATAAATATTCGAATCTTTTAGTTCAAACGAAAAAATTGATTTATTTCAATTCGGAAAGTAATAAATTAAAATTTAACAAAAAAATATTAATTTTTTAAAAATAAACAATTTTCAAATTAAAATTCAAACAAAAGGGTATCGATAATAATTTTATTTTTAACACCCTTTGCTTATTTGGCCCTCCTCCTAATATTTTATTTATATTTTATTCTTTGTTATGATGCTTTTATATAAATATTATTCTTAAAATTCAAAATGATTTTAAATTTTAAGATGAACTTTAAATCTAACTTCAATTCTAAAAAAAAAAAAATTAAAAATGAAAAATAAAAATATAATAATTATAACTAAGAATGTATGAAAAATATGTGTATAAAATTATGGAGGCAGTCAAAGTTGAAGAATCCAAAAGTTAGCAAGAAGCAAGGTCCAGAATTTATGGCACGACTTTGCACAAATATTTATATATAAATTTTTTGAATTTTTAATTAAATTTATTAAATGAGAGTAGAGGCGGTAGGATGCCAGCAAGAGCCAGCTTACATTCAACACTCCTGGTTCCATTATTTATTAATTCATTAGATTACAATTTTGAAAAAACTATTATTTTTAAATAATAATGTTATTATAAGCTCGAATTTAATATAATATCTTAATATGAAATTTATCTAAACTAATTATTTCAACTCAGAATTAAAATATTGCATCGAACAACAAAATCAAGGTTGCTACTTTTGATTTTTGTAGAAATAAATATTTAAGTACATGAATGCATGAAACTACTTGACCATAAAATAAGCTATAAATACTTTGTTTATGAATTATCATAGCTTATTTTAATTAATA